CTTCTGGTTTAGTCGAGCAATTTCACTATGAAAGCATTGTGTGTCCCTCTCAGCCTCTTCATATATCTGTTGCTGCTGATGTGATGATGTCATTATTATATTAAGCTCTTCCATATTACATTGTGTAAATGCATCGTTCATGCGTGAGTGGTCCGTAGTGTTGGTCGTCATCTTTTCATCACGAACATCCCAAGAAGTACTTGGGGTCTCTGCAATACGTAGACCTTCTGTGTGACACAACTGCCAGAGTTCGCATAATTGCAGAGTTTCTGCAAGAATAAGAGATACCCGGGCAGTACACTCTTCATTCATCACCTCATGCGTAATATGTGTGATACGAGGCAGAAGAACGGTGTCTGTATTTTCATTCTCGGCTATTCCCTCTTCCTCTTCATATTCATATTCATATTTAAAGATTCCCTTCTCTTTGGGGTTGGTATTCTGTTGACTTTTTTCATTCTCCTTATCACTTTTACTGTTAGAGTCATAATTTTGAGTTTCTTTTTCTTCAAATGTCAATAGATTTGCTTTCTTAGAGTATACAGGTTGCTCCATTTCTTTTGAATCTGAGCCAGAAATATTATTCCTATTAACTACTTCCATAGTTCTAACAACTTCATCGTCCACATATCCTGCCCCATTTGGGGTCGGCAATTCCACATTACTTTTAGAATCCATATTTGACTCTACTTCATCTCCTGCCATTAGTGGTGTTGGAAAGATAGAAACAGCGTGATCCCCAAGTACCACAATTGGAAAACCTTGTGGTGGGGATTCAGAACAACTAGAAAAGAAAAAGCCCTCCATCACCTCCTTCGGCTCTTCTTCTTCTTTTTCTTCTTCTTCGGAATCCTCAGTATCTTCAGCTTTTTCATCAGATTCCATCAGTATTCTGTTTTCCTCTGTTCCTTCTACAGACACTCCATGCAGTAGAGGAAGAGAGTTACTACTCTTCTTTACTTCTTTTTCTTCTTCTTCTTCGTCCTCGTTCGGAATTAAAACTGAAACACAAGGCAATAGGTGAATATTTTCTTCCATGGACTCCTTGCAGTCAACCAACTCATGTTGAAAATGTGATGGAGGTTTTGGCCACGTTGAATTATAGTCACTATTACTATCCATTGTACTGCGATTCGGTAACCGAGAAATTACTGAATCTGCCTCTAACGCATCTACCGTATCCTTCAAATGAAGTCGCAAACGCTCTGCTACAGCAAGTGGATCCTGTTTCTCTTCTGATTCTGTTGAGAGTGCTACTCTTGGAAAAGGAATATTCATATCTGCTGTTGATTTGCTGTCATCCCGCCCTGCTGAGGGGTGATCTTCTATATTCACATCATTTGGATTCCCACCGGTACGACCCAGTGGTTTACCTTCTAGATCCAGTGCACGTTTAAGCAGCAGTGCACGACTTTGGCGAGTAGAGGCGGGTTGAGTTCTGCGTCTTAATGTTGCGGCAGTAACTCGATATGCTACAGCAAATGGACGTGGTTTTAAGACTGTCCCTCTCGTTTCTGTATGTAACTTATTAGCTTCATGCGAATGATTAATAACTTCAACTGAAGTGTTTGAAGGTGTTCCTACTATATTTTGAGAAAGTGATGTATTCCTCCCTTTTTCCACTCCGTGGGATAAGAGGGTGTGGGATGGTGTGGATAGTAGAGAAGCTGCCGATTCCCGTCCATTCATTCGGTTCACCGGCGAGAAGGCCACATCCATTTCCAGTTGTTTTGGGAGTTGTTGATTCCACGCCTCCCATCGCGCCAACATCATCTTCGCCTCCTCAACGGTCTCAACATCGACGGCGGGGGGTAAATTCAAATAGGCGCCGGTGGGTCTCACGGCGAGATAAGACTCGGGCCGCACGGCTGCCGACCCCCGCCCACGAGAAGTGTGTAATGATCCATCCATAGTACTACACGGACGTGGATGCCGCAGTAAACAATGCGGATATTCTTTTTCTGGTTGTGGGCGATATTGTTCTGATTGTGATGGTAAACGATATTCCTCTTCTTGTGGTTGTGATTGTTGATGATATTCCTCTTCTTGTGATGGTGGTTGTGGAGGAATGGGGTCTAGCGGCCATGGGCCATCGGATGTGTGCGGCGGGTTGCCCATCGACATGGAGAGAGAACTTCTCTTCTCTTCTCTTCTCTTCCGCCCTTGTGGTATTTTACTGAGTGGGGGAAGAAACCAGACTTTTCTTTAAATGAATATAAAGAAAAAAAAAAGAAAAAGAAAAAAAGAAAAGAAAATGAAGAAACAAAACATGATATCGCTTAGTAGATGATTTACTTTAATAGGGATCAAGCATAACACACATCCTTGAAGGTCGGGACACAGAAAGAAAAGAAAAAAAAAAAAACAGATTCAATTAAACACGTTTCCATGCGCAAAAATAAAAATAAAAAAGAATAATATAATATAAAGGGAAATTAACAAAATATCTGAATATGCAAATTGAAATAAAAATAGAAGAGACACCTGCAATAGATAAGGTAGAAACGTCTTAAACCCATAAAAATAAAATTAACTGACAGTGCAAGAAATAAGATAAAAAAAAAAAATGGGGAACAAATAATACAAAATACAATACTTATACATGTAGTAAAGCACGATCCAGATTTTTTTTTAAAAAAAGATGAAGAGGGGGCAGAAATGAGGAGAATAAGAAATACAACAATAGCAAGTTGAGCTGAAAGGCACAATGAGAGAAAGAGAGAGAGAGAGAGAGAGAGATGAACTCCGTCACATAGACTTTCTCTCACCATTGTTGTCACCCGCTTCTTTATTTTCTGCCTCTGAGCATATATAAAAAAAATAAAAATAAAAAACGTTCATCAACAGGCATTCCTGTTTGAGATATTATACTTACTCCTATTGAGTTCAACATGCTAAAAGAAGTGGTAGATACACATTTAATACACACATATATTGATAGTATTGCTGAGAGAGAAAGAAAATAATAATAATAATAATAATAATAATAATAATAATAATAATAATAATAATAATAGCCGAAAAACATCGACCTATATCGTTTTCCAGTAAAGATATAAAAAATGTTTTGGTTTTTTTTTTTTTTTTTTTTAAACCATTACTTCCTTTTTTTTTTTTTTTAAGCATCCACATATTTTCTTATTCTTCGTTATCACATATCCTTTACACATATAGAAATACAAACATATATAAATATCGATTCCATCATTTTCACATTACTTTATCCCCCCATTAAAACTCTATAGAAAAGCTTTTTATTAGACTAGTAGGTGATGCAGAGACTTTCTGTATTTCAGGGTCATTGTTGTTCTCTTTCATCACATTATTTTTCTTCTCCTCATCCTCATCCTCCTCTTTCTTCTTCTCCTTCCGGTGTTGTTTTCGTCTAATATGGCGTACACGAGATTTGCTGTTGGTACTATTGTTAGAGTTTTTCTCTTCAGGCACTATATTTCCATTGCTGTTTAATTCTGTTATTGCTTCTGATAGTTCGGATGCTGCTGTTACTGATGATGATGCCGAAAACACCTTCGGCTCATCTGCTGTTACTTCTGTTGTCCTTATGTTTGAAGTAGGATTTAATGGCCGTTTCAGCAAATCTGAGAGTGGCGATGAATAGTTTTCCGCGCCTTTATTCACTACATTGAATTCATCCACATTCGCATTTTTTGTTGCTGTTGTTGTGGGTGGACTCTGATCCCTTACGGCGGCGGTTACTGCTATTCCTGCATCCTCTTTATTATTTACACGAGATTGTCCATTCCCCTTTCTCTCTATCTCTTCTCCTTCTCCTTCTTGTTCATTCACGTTGCTCGTGTTTATCTGCGGTGTGTTGATGTCCGGCGTTATCCGCGCAGGAAGCGGCGGTGTTGGCACTTCACTCGCACTTTTGATTTCACTGCCGGGGACCGACACGACGGGCAATCCAGTGAATTTGTCGTATTCACATTTGGAGAGAATGCCTGTGGTGGGCCGCGGGGGCAACGCGCGAGCACCCGTCGGTGAAAACATGATAGAGGCGTTGGATTGGAGAATGGGGATTTTGTCCAACTCCACCACAGATGATGTGATGCGCACCCGCCGCCCTCGACGTTCTGCATTCCGTTCACTTCCGTTGGTGCTGACACCCACGCTGCCGTTATTGCTGTTGAAAGCGCCGTCAGCCATAATATCGTTACCACTATTATTATTATTACTATAATGATTATTACGATATTTCCTACTGTAACTACTATTATTACTATCATGGCTGGTAGTGCCAGTGGGGGTGCGAGGGCCCACAGGACGCTTCGGCTGGGGACGGGCCACAGCTCCACCCATGATCGATACTAATATAATAATAATAATTATTATTATATAATATATATATAATATATATACAACTGTGTGATTAAGTATCTGTGTATAGGGTAGTTCACCCTTGGTCTTTCCTTTTTATTATTATTATTAATGGGAAAGAGTTAAGAACGTAGAAGAGGAGAAAATACGTTTGCGTAACAAACACACCCACAGAGGATGACAGATAGATAGACAGAGAAAAAAAAAAAAACAAAGAATACTCACTAGATGTGGGTCAAGTTATGAAATGAATAATACGAGCTATCATGTCGTTATCATTTATCAATTATTATTTTTTCTTCTTTTTTCCCCCTTTTCCCAGTACTAAGTTCCTAATTGTTCATTCCCGTAATTAAAACAATGGAAATAGAACCAATAAAATATATATATATATATATTTTTTAAGCTGTTCTGACATACCTATTTATCTCTGGCCTCAGCACGTACACACACGCACAAACAAGAGAGAGAATATTTCTATCCATATTCACTCTCACTATCACTACTGCAATAGCAGAGAATGAAAAGAGAGAAATACCTGCGGAAGTGATGTTCACATCTCTCTCTGTATGTGTATGTGTGTGTACATGCTAAAAGGACCAGTAATGCGAAGAGAGGAAACACTTTAAAAAGACGAACGTACAGAAAATAAAAAGCGTAAAAACTCGTTTTGGAAAGGGAATATAAATAACGAATAAATAAATAAATATATATATATATATAATACAACAATAGAAGAACACGGAATGGGAACGAAAAACAAGAATCATATCGTAAAAAAAAAAAGGAAAATAATAGTGGTTTCTCTTACAACAGAGAGTTAATCTCTCACGAAAAAAAAAATAAGAATGTAAAATGGAAATCCATTTATTCTTTTCTTTCTTGAACGAATGGCATTAGAGAAAATAAAAAATAATAAAATAAAATAAAAATTCATCTTCACTATCCACTGACATTATGAGACTCTGGTTTTCCTTCTTCTTCTTCTTCTTGTCAACAATGTTAACGTCCAATGATTTTGCAATCCTTTCTTCTTTTTTTTCTTTCTTTCTTTCTTTCTTTCTTTGGGCGGATCATTAAATGTCGAGTCTTACACGTTGTTGTTTAGCTTTATGTAAACAGCAGCATTCATTTATTCTTCGTATTTCTTTCGTTCTTTACAGTACCGTTGCCTTTTGTTTGAATAGGCAGAATAATCCAAACTGAGTGAAATAAAACACTCGCGAAGAGTCCAAAGGAAAAAAAAAAAGAATTTCTTTTTTAAAGGCAGAAGCGTTAATGAGAACGCCACTGGGAAAAGAAAGAAAGAAAGAGATGTGCACGCACGTTGAGAATTGGAAAAAAAAAAAATAATAATAATAATAATAAAATAACAATAATAAAACAAGAGGGAATTTGTATTCAGAGAAAGACACTGCTACTCTTTTCGATATGTTTTCTTTATTTTTTTTTTGTGTTGTTTTTTTTTTCTTTTTTTCGTTTTGTTGATGTTGATTTGTTGGTTAATTCATCCTTGATATGCAGATAATAAGGGAGGAGAGATATCCATCCGGTCGCTAGAAAAAAAGACTTTGCTTTTCGGTTCATTTTCTTTATTTTTTTTTTTATATACTTTTCTTTATTTATTTTTTTTTTTTTGAGAGAAAGAGAGACTTCTTTTGTTTTGTTTTCCTGTAATTGTCTCTCTTTTAATCATCATCATGTTGCCTAATGTTTTTTTTTTTTTTGTTTGTTTGTTTGTTTGTTTGTTTGGTTTCATCGTTATAACTATCATATCATCTCACCATTACTAGTACTAGTGTAGTGGTATTACTCCACCCTTTGCACTTACAACTCATTCAGTGCATTATTATTATTATTATTATTATTATTATCCAGTAAATGATCGTGTAGTTTGATTTGTTTTGGTGGTTGTTGTGATCGTTGGTGGTGGTGTTGTTGTGCCTCTTTCAGTGGTGGGATGGGTGCATTCATTGCGGTGCGTTTGAGAGAGGCGGTGCTTTCCTGTTCCGCCTGCAGGAGTTGTTCCTCCATGTACATCATCTCCTCATCTGCCTGTGTCTTCTTTACAAATCTAAATCGTTTCTTCATAAACACCACAGCGACAATGATTAAAAGAAGAATCACCGCAATCACAACACACAAAACAATAATTAATGTATTATGAGAAGAACTGGTAGGGGCGTCTGGGGGAATCACAGGCACAGTAGTGCCGGACCAACCGGGTTGTGAACCGCCCCGTAAAAGTAACGTTTCATTCGTTGTGTAGATACGGGTGTTGGATCGTGTGAGCCGCAGGATTAATCCCACTTCATATCGTGATCGCATCGCCACTCGTGTGGTGTTTTCAAGTTGACACTTCAGTGTTGTGGCCGTTACGGACACCGTCACACATGTTGGGATGCCCGGCGGTGTTTCCTCCCACGCCGCCGCATTGTGAAGTATCATATCTCTTTTTCTTATTATTTCTTCTTCTTTTTCTTTTCTTCCATGTTGGTAGGTGTGTTTCTCACTTTTGTTTAGGCTTGGAAACAGCAGGATTATATTACGCGTTGGGTGATAATGATCAAAGTTTGTACCAATGAAGGTAAGGAAGGCCCCATCTACACAATCCGCACTCTTCGCCGCACACTCCCCAAATGCGGCAGAAATTACCAAACTTGGCGGCACACAAACAAGTACATTCAACACCCCTTCATAAGTGACTTTCACACCAGTTTTATAAATAGATGTATTCCACAGTCCAATAGTTCCAACAGGAACAGAAATGGTACAAACAAGCATAGTTTGATTTACCTGCTTTACACGGCACGTTGGTGAGCGTACGGTGTTATTTGATCGAATAGGCTCAATTAACACATTATAGTCTTCTGAAGATGTGCTACTGAAGTAACCACCAAAGTAGATATCCTCACCATCGCTAGGTTCATTTGGTGTGATAAACCAAACTGTATCATTTGTAGGTTTGGGTGGTGGTAAAACTTGAATATCCATTGGCACTGCACTCACAAAAGCGGGATCGTAGAGAAGAGAATCTCTGGATTTCCCTATTGATGAACCCGTAACACAGACACAGACACAGTGAATATCTCCACTAAAATCATGTAAATCCATTCTTGCTGTGTTTCCGGGACGTACAAGGGTTGTATACCGATAGAAATTTATAAAAGCTGAAATACAGTTAGGTACTGCACATGTTGTAGATTCTTTACTCCATTGTTCCAGAAATAATATTCCATCCCATGTTCCTAACCCTTCAACTTTAAAGGTACTATCCTGATGTCCAATTAACTGTAATGGTGAGAGAGTGAAAGGTTCAATACGGACAGCACTACTCAAGTGATGTCCGATATCATTAAAAGGGTAGTGAAATCCAGCATATAAACCTTCTAACAATCCTTCAACAGGAATAAACATATGAAAATGTGACTCTACAGTCACAATTCCACTGGTTCGTGAACTTCTAGGAATTTCAGAGGCAGTTGAATAATTATCATATAACTTAATATCTGCATAATTTTCCCATACAATTGCCATATGTTTCCCTATGGCTGTACCTGTTACTCCAATAGCACAAGGTAACTTTACTGGACAGGTAGAACGTCGTAGAACAGCTGAAGTTGGAATTTCAATTATAAGATAGCGATATTCACTACGATAAATACCTTTTTCTGCCCAATAAATAACAACTGAGTTCTCTGTAACCATAAATGGGGAAGTATATCTTGTCACATTATCTAATGCAAGTGAAAAATCATAGAAAATTTTTACATCCTTATCTGGATGTGAAAGTGTTACCACTTGCTCTGTAGATTCAGGATCATCTACTGTGCCTGATGGAGGATCCACAGCGTTTGATGGTACTGCCGTACTGAATCCCAATTCTCCCTTATCATAATAAAGTCGAACAGAAATCTTTGGAGCTTCAAAGAAACCACAACAACCATATCCACGACGAACCTCAACAACTTCATCACTTTTAGCCCATGATGGTCCATTGCCTTCATGCGTTTCTGACCACCGCTCACACACAGATGTTGAATTACCCCCACCAGAGTGAATTTGAACGTAATCATCCACTCCATAATTACTTTCAGATAGTATTGGAGCAAATGTAGAAGCTCTAAAGTCTGGAAGACTTTTGCGTTTAAGTATGTAAGGACAATAGGCATCAAAATTACACAACTGAGAGTATCCACTACTCTGACAATTACTCATTGCTTGAGGCCAGCTTGTACTACCATCATCACTAATCCATTGGAAATCGTCTTTAGCAGTAAGTTTAAAGATCAAACGATGCCATCCTAAGGTTAAATTAAATGGAATAACGGCAAAGGAACCAGTAGATTCATTATGGACAAAATTGTCATCAATAAAAAGGCTGAAGGCATCATCGAAACCTATATAAATATCCCCAACTACTCCTGTAGAGTACACTGCAAATGAGTAGTATTGATTATACTTACCAGCTATAATATCAGTGTAACTACCAAAAATTCCATCTGTGCTTACCCGAGGATTCCAATAAAATTCAACCGGTTTTTCATCATAAATATTCACTGTAACTCTGCTTGTTGTATTAATAGCTTGATTAAGATCAAAATCAGTCCTCATTGGATTTTCTACATCTGAAGTATAAGGAATTTCTGAAAGACGTCCGTCCAATCCTTCTGATGATTGCAAGAGCAGCATCTCCGTAATGACTTCCCCACTCCCAAGAGGCATTATATCATTTGGTAATAATGAACCCAACTCGTAAGCAATTGCAATCATTTCATTAGTTTCGAAGGGAGTCATTGAAAAAAACCATGTGTTTTGATATGAAGCTCCTATTTTCACTATCATCTGATACCATCCAATATAAACATTTTGATAAAACGTTTTTCTACCTGGTAATTCATTCTCTGGGCATTCAAAAGTTACATCACCATTTATCCATATCTTCACTGGTCCATGACAGTAAACTGTCCAAGTTATGAGTTGAGCTCGTAAGGCATACAAACCAAAGGCTAAGTAGCGATTAGCATAAACTCCCACAGTAGATTCAGTTCCATCCACTTTCCATTGTCCAAAACTAGCATGTGCTGGTTGCCACATATGACCAGTAAAAGTTCTATCACCTGTACGAGGACGCATAGTTTGCATATTTCCAATAATATCTTCACCAAAAACTTCGTAAATGTATTCATTCTCCCTTCCAAGTCTTAAAGCTGTTGAAATAGGTTCACCATCTTTTAATACCATTGTATTTGGAGGAAAAAGTGAGGGTAAACTGTAAAAACTACCACCCCCAGATAACATTATACGAATTTTCATACGCATATTATCTTCTGTAGAATATGCTTTGATCAAAACCTGGTGCCACCCAAATGGAAGTACTGTTTGACTTTCATTATTGTTATAGCTGGTAGAAAAGACAATCTTACCATCAAAAAACATCTCCATTGGGCCATTAAAATCAACTTCAATATCTATTAATTCACTTCCAGTAACAAATAAAGCAAAGGCAAAATAGTGTAATGTCCCACCTTTAACATTTACTTCAAAATATCCACTGGTATCTAAATCAACTTTTCGCCATGTACTTGTGTAACTTTCGCCATCACCAGTTTCTGCAGTGCTGGTCATCCCATCATATGGACGCATTTTTAGCTCTTCTCCAAAAAACCAATCATAGTCAAGAGGATCAGTGTACTCTGAAGGTTCAATACCTTCTTCTAATGAACCAAAACGGAGCAAATGTCCAATTGGTTTAGTACTATCCAATGGAATCGCTGGTTCTGGAATAGCGGTACCAACCATAATTCTATGTTTATGTTCCTTTCCATTTTCTGGTGTAATATTTTCATCAACCATAACTTCAATTGATACTACTTCCCCTTCCTCAAAATTTTCTTCATTATACATAAACTCCAAAATACCATTAGTATCTGATAGCATGTCCTTATAAGGGTTAGAACCAACTTTTATCTTAAATCTGCGTCTACCTGTTTGTACCTCACCACGAAAGTTTCTTAAAGAAATTCGAAAGTAAAAGCCTGTCCCAGCAGCACCCACCCATGGGTGTTCCCAATCTAACCATACCTTTTCTTCACTTATAGGACGAACTTCAAGGGTGTATGCACGTCCCCATGCTGGGATATCTTCCGGCTGCGTCTGACAACAACCACCACGAGTTCTTACAACTTGGTTACTGCCCCAAGTGGACAAACGCTGACGAGGAGATGCTAATGGATATCCAATAGGCGAACCACCTAATGCTCCCGGAAGATCTCGATATGGTGGTACAGCATGAACCCGACCAGTGAAATAAAAATCATCCGGTGAAGCACGTGAATACATATAGTTTAAGGTATTAGTTGAAGTAAGAAGAGTACAAACATCTACACCCTTAACAGGTATAAAAACATCCCGAAATGAGCCCATATTAACTATCACATAAAAATTGTCACCAAGGTCATCATAGGTCAAACAAGAACGGAAAAAACTGACTTCACTTTCATAAAAACCATTCTGAATGAGTGAAGAAGTGATCTGTTTCGATCCGTCTACTATAGCAGTTTCATTGGTATCTCCTGAATTAATACGAAATGGTGTAAGAACTCCCATATTAGTTTCATTTGCAGACCAGCAAACAAAAACAGATGGAACATTTAGAGCCTTTGTCAATTCTACTTCACCATTTGTACCACTTTCATCTACATTTTTTACCAAAAGTACATGTTCAGAGTGGCATTGAGAAGTTGAAGATAAAAATAGTGCCTGTCCATTTGCAAGATTATGACCAACCAATCCCATCTTTAGAGGATAAATCGTATTTTTATCCAAGGTTATAACGCCAATAACTGAAGAAACATTCATAAAAGACGTAATGGAAACTGCCGCTATCTTAAAGTTAAGATCACCTTCAATCATATTTGAATCTATTGAACTTACCGAGCACAAATTTAATGTCCACGCTGAGACACCACCATTTACTGTACCATCTCTTAAGAATAATATAGCTTGAAAAGAGCTGTATGGAAACAAAGTTACTTTGGTATATTTTACTTCAGCCCCAGAGTAGCAAGGTTCCGGTGATAATACAATATCTGTATCAGATGAGAAACCAATACCAGAAAAATCAAGGATACCTCTTTGCATGTTGTACATGGATATTGTATTACCTAAACTATCAGTCTTTTCACAATTGGCAAGATACATTATATATGATGCACTAAATGCAGCATTATAAATACGAACGTCGTCTATTGAACCAATAAAATCATTCTCATGGGTAACCGGATCCCTATTTTCACCTCCCACTACTACAAATGTTTCATTACCATGTACAAAATCAGATGATGGTATACTTAAATCATCAACTAAATTACCGTTCAGAAATAAATTCATTGTTGAACCGTCATATACACCAGCGACATGTACCCACTCATTTTGAGGTGTTAAAGTTTTACTACAAACCCAATGAGAGGTTATTATAAAACAAAGATATCCCCTTCTGTCATATGCCAAAGCCCATTCATATAGAGGAAAAGTAGGATTTTTTGTTTTAGAATATGATTTGGATAATACCACTTTGTTTGCCACAGTTGAATTTCCTATATTCACCCAAACTGCCACAGTTAATGTGGGTAATTGAAAATCATACACATTTTTTGCTTTAAGATGAAAAGATCCATCAAACTGTAATGTTCTTGAATTTTTTACTCCATTCACCCAATTGAACGTTGTTGCTCCTTTAACCTCCATGTCATTACCCTGATCACTTTCATCATGAAACGTTGTGCCATCAAATCCTTCTTCATGCAACAAATAGTGTCCCACCAGGTTTGCACTGGTTTGCTGTGAAAACTCACTTTTCTCCACGCAATGCATTTGCCCTGTCGTCCCTGCCACACTCCCCACGTGCAGTCGTAGTCTCCCGTTTCGGTCTCTTGGGTTCATCATGCAGAGAAATCCATGACTGGCGGTGCATAATGCTGTTCGCCAGGATCCCTCATACGGCGTGGGGTGCTCTGTCGTCGTCAACACACATCCGTCTCCTTCTTCATTCCCTTCGCCGCCGCCCCCGCTGGGCTCACCGGGAAGCCAGTCGGTGAATTGGACGGGACTGCCGTCGGTCCACGTCAAGACGGGGAATCCGCCCGTCCCCACCGCCCGGCGGCCTCCCGTCCACGCCGCCTTCCCACCCGCCAGCGAGAGGAGAAATTGACTGCGGGTCTCATTCGCAATACTCGCCAGAGTGGCGCCGTCGCCGTGGCAGTGCCGCCGGGCCTCTCCCCATGAGAGAGGATCAGCGACGAATTTGAAACACGCGTTCTCAAAGTGGGCGTAGCCGTGAGGGCAGATGCCAACGTACGGCTCCAGACGGTACACAGACGCGGAGACTTCACCGCCACAGTGAGTATTGTTTTCGTTGTCATCACAAGAAATATTACAGAGATTCTGATTTGTCTCACGTCGGGACTCGTTATTATATACACCACAGGTACAAATAACACCATCTGTAAGGGCGAAATAAAGTGTACCAACACCAGCACAATGTTCCATACAAGCAGTTTTATCTCCAATGAATACTATAAAGTAATTTTCAACATAATTATTCATAGGATAATCAGAATAATTGGAACTTGCAAAGTACTCCTTCCCAGGATCTTTGTAACAACCAAGAGAGGTTGCATTTGGCACCGGTGGAACTGCAGGAAGTGGAACAGGAGGTTTTAAATTATAACCAGAGCACTGAAATCGACTCAGGAGACTTTGTTCACTTGAAGTTGCTGTGCAATTAGTACTGGAAAACATACAAGTCCTCTCTTCAGTGTTGTATACAGCAACAGCACATTGTGCTGTCATATAACAACCATACAAACAACTTTCTTTACTTATGTCATTACCATATAAAGTGAAACTTCCAGACCCTTCAGTACAATTTCCGTTTATAGGGGTTGTCATATCACATTCATCACTTAGACGTAGATACGTTTCACTCGCTCTTGGATCTTCCACAGTTAGTGAACATTCACCATATGATAAATAGCAATCGGCAATACCATTTGTATCCGGGGTCCCAATAGAAAAGGCTGAGCAATTATCATCACGGTTACATCTCAATTCACAAATATCCTTCGTAAGGACACCAATATGTATATCACGCGAACCAGAACACATTGCTCTGTTTCCCCAAAGAATATATTGACTTCTTGGCTTCTGCACAAAATTATAGTCTACACAAGTAGTACATGTACAATTTGCATAGCTTCTACCACAGTAACCGTTAGAACAACAACTATGTAAATTACATTGTGCAAATTCAAATTCATCTGAATCTATGGGAATACCAGGTCCACATAATCCATCAGCACGATATGGACGACTAGTTTTTGAAACAAAACACTTAATAGGGTTAAGTGCATCATAACAACATCCCGCTTCCATACAATCTTCGTATGAAACTGTTATGTTAGGTCCTTCAAAACACGCAATAGTCTTATTACCATTTGCACAATCGGTTGTATTTTCTGTACCCTTCACATAATTCCAACTCAAACTTTTTGCATTCTCAAAACGAATTGACATTTCAGGAACTGTACGTCCAAATATGGAGTAAATCACTTTGACAATTACTTGGTGCCATCCTTCTTTCATAAGAAAAACAGATGAATAATCATTTCTTGGGAAAAAAGTTTGCTTTTCAAATACAATATTACCGTCAAAATATACACGAGTTGTAGTATTATAACGCACATTGATTACACCATTTTGTGTATTAGGGCTGTAAATAGCAATAGCAAAATATTGAACCCAATAGGGAGGTGATGTTTCATTATTACGGGCAAATCTTCCATCTTCTGCTTGTAATGGAGACCAAAGATATCGTTTATTATCCAAATATAAAGAATCTCCAAAGTCAGGTTCCTGTAATGATTCTCCTCCAGTTGAAACAAAAGGATCAGCATCAAGTCCTATAAGTGGAAGTGAATCATAATAAGATTCCCCAAGATGGAGCATATTGCTTATCCATCCACTAGGAAGAGGAATGGCATTTTCAGGTGTACGAACAAGAAAGAATTCACAAAAAAACGTACTTGTTGTATCATTCGCTTCACATTGAGCAGCAACACGTTTTTGTCCAGGTCCATTAATAGGATGTAGACATAATTTGTACTTCCCAGGATTTTTATTTCTTACAGTAAAAACATAGTAACCAGTTTCTAAAGAGGTCGTCCAAACACGATCAAACATTTCATATACGGCAGAAGAAGAAAAACATGATTCATTAAAGGGTAACAATGCCCCAAAATCTCCTTCACGAACTCCTGCATAAAGGGTTATACTAGTTTCCTGTTCGTAATAAGACAAATGTGGATCAGCGAGAACATTTCCCATATCATAACCATTTACTGCTGCAATACAAAAAGAAGCAAATCCACCACCACTCTGTAATTGAAAATCCAATGATGTACCATTGTAGTGAAACCACAAGGTATCAAGATACAAGGGAGACATATAATGTCCTAGCACATCACCAGTTACTCTGTTTATTAGAGTAAATGAAGTCAATTCAGGTGGATTAGTACCATATACCAATTTCATGGTAAAATTTTTTGCATTTACAGGAACTGATACCGGGTATTCAAAAGTAGCACTCTGCGTAGTACCACACGAGTGATTTTCTTCCTCTTCAGGAGTCCAACTTTTGGATTTCAACGTAATATTACCAGTAGAATTACGTACATTAAGCATAAACGAGGATTCAAGAACTGTTCTTTCTCCACCTATTATGGATGCTCCCACAAAAGAAAAACCAGAGTGGTTGTAGTCTTTGTAAAAGAAAAAAGTATGAGCGTCAGCAACTTTTAGGGGAGATCCAGGATCCTCAGTTTCGGTATCCACAAGGCAACCACTTTGAGTTCCTTTCAATGGCATTCGGAACTGAGACATATACTCTGCCCCAAATCGATCAAGAATTTTCCCTTTAAATACCGTGACATATCCTAATGTTGTAATTGCATCCCAACTCCATGGAATGGGGGTTGCAGTTGTACCATATCCCATTGATGCTAGTGGAGAAAAAGCAAGTCCGCTGTTTCTTAGACTCACCATTTCTTCCCGGATTACCTCCACAGAATCAATAGAGACTGTAACCACACCTGTTGATGCATCTATAGTTAACAAAACGCTACGATAACGGTTAGATGCAAGTGTCACAACGCCCAGTCCAGTCACTGTGAGTTCGTTTTCTCCTGCTGAGACTCTCAACTGTAGTTGCCCAAGTGCAGGATCCCACGTCAATTGAATCCGGTCACCATCCACAACGGTATCATTCATCGTGTGGTGTCCAAGGACGTCAAGAATGGGAACCATCTCAGTACCTTCAATTGTCATCTTCAACCACATTGCAACAGACAATTTCCCTATTCCCCCTGTTAGATTAAACAAAGAACCCACCTCACTGCTCCTCGTCACACGAACACAACCGCTATTTTCTGAACAAACGCTCTCATATAATTTGTCAGGACATGGCAGATTAGCCTCTGGAGCAGCGTTTACACCTTGTACGAATATGGCAATAAGCCCTACAAATACAAAGTAGACGATAAAAGAAAAAAAACTGTTGGGCTTCATTTCCTTAGTCTTTATTCTTGTTTAATTTTTACATTCAGAACAGAGAGAAAGAAAGAGAAACAAAAAGAATGGAAATAAGGGAAATAAACAGAAAGACCACAGAGGCACACAGTAATCAGGTGCCCTCATTTTAAACATTAATTACTCTTGCTCCTTCTGCAAAAGATTCACCGCCTTACATTTAATGACGGAGGAACAGAGAAAACTTACCACGTTCTTCAAAATAGCCTACTCTTTTCTTTTTCACTGTCTCCAAAACGGTGATAGGCATAGGAATAGGAATAGGAAGAAAATAATAATAATAATAATAATAATAATAATAATAATAATAATAATAATAATAATAA